TGACTAATTTTGGTTTCCTATTATATATTACCACAAAGTGTGTGCACAAAATTATACCAGTATATATTTTAGATAAAAAGTTTTCAACATATTTCAGAAATATTCGCTTAATTTGATGAAATAAATTATTTTGTTAAATTATAAACATTAATTACAAAAATTTTTAATAAATAAATTTATGTTAACAAAAGTTTAAATTTTAAATTCCCGATCTCCCACTTAATGAAATATATTTCCAAATACTGTTAACTATATTCTGGTGTAAAGAATATCTCATTTGCATAATTGAATTAACTATAAATTCTTGACTACATTTCCATTCCTACTATAAAGTGCACTGACAATAACTTAACCAAATGTAAGCCCAGGGTTGCTTACAAAATAGATTTTAAAGTGAGTAATTGCGAGAGAGAGAGAGAGAGAGAGAGAGAGATAAATGTGACAAAAAATTCTCATGAGGTTTGATTTGAGGCTCAAAAAGTGTTTTATAAAACGTATAACTTTTCCTGAGTTCTCAAACCCAACGTTTTGCGCAAAATATACATTATTTCTCGTGTGATCTCTCACTCTCTCCCTCTCTTTGTCACTCATTTACTCATTTCTTTCTTTTCCTCATCTCTTTCAGACTCCCTATCCATACCATACCTTCTCAACAATATAATACAGTATATACTACTCTTGAGTAGTATATTGTGGATCAACTTTAATGCTAATGCAATGCATTTAAACAGTTTTAAGCATTGGTTCACATCTGCTGTAATTCACAATTGTGTTCAATCGCTAACACTATTTGAATGGATTTGTTGGTTAAGTAAAACTAATACTAGATTTAACTGTTGTGTTGCTATTAGTTATATATCTCTATACTCTATTCGCTATAAATACGGTTAGTACACACTTTACAGTGTTTTATATGGATATTGTGTTTCACAAAAACTTGAACCCAACTTATAGCATCACTTTAATTCATTCACTCTTAACTCCCAATCACTCAAATGCCTTAAAATCTGTGCACACTTTACAATATATTAACACCGAAAATATCTGGCAATCTATTTGATGAGATACATTTACTGAAAACTATTAATTCACGTGTAGTTCACAAAACAGTAGAATATATTTATTTTTATGACTAGCTGTTTAAGTGTTGATGTATTTCGGGTAAAACACGTTTGCATTTTGATATAAATATATTCTGGACAAATTAATTGAATTCTGGCTTTAATTGAAACATAAAAATCTACAGAAAGAGATATTCAATAGAGAGAGAGAGAGAGAGAGAGAGAGAGAGAGAGAGAGAGACAAACACTTACACTACTAATAAATAGAGAATGGCAAATCTTTTATGGAAAATCTTTTATAGGAATGACTACTGCATTACAGGCGCTGTAATAGGGATTATGTTATAACAGGATTACACCACAACTCGTAATTATTGCAGCAAAACGACAGTTAGTCGTAAGGATAGTGCGGACATTGAGAGCGAGAGTGTGAGGGATAGTTGGGGTCAAAGTTTGAGCGCTCAGACCATAACAATAACTGCGAACGCATTGCACATAATTCTTGTGAAACAAATTATTTTTCGGTCAAACACTGGGATTACTGTCTATGAGATGGTCAGTGAAAGTGAGGAGAGAGAGAGAGAGAGAGAGAGATGAGGGCTAGTATGTTAGGAATGGTAAGTATGGGTCGAATAACAATCAAAAGCGTCCCAAAACGACATAAATGTCCAAACATTGCCAAAAGTGTTCACTGGTATTGCGAGTGCACTACTACTGGCCCTCATCCATAGCCATCTATAATAACAATCTCATTAAACGAACAAATTTCGAGTCAAACAAAACTTTTTTGTTGTTCACTGAATGTCTTTCCCTCCTATACTTTGTTTGGCATTAATAGCGCATCACTTCCTTCGCATCACATGTCCTGATGGCAGGCAATGGCCGTAATGTTTGACAATTATTGAGCGCCGGGAGCGAGCAAATTGTCTTAAATAAAATATAATGCTTTATGCAATCATTTTTTATGAGTAAATCATGAATTTTTACTGTTAGTCAACAAATGATTTGCGAGCGTTTTCTCCGTATATATTATTATATATTTTTATCATATATTGTCTTCTCTTACAGTTCACAAGAATTTTCAATTTTGAAAACTTATTGAAAGTCTCTCTCTCTCTCTCTCTCTCTCACACACACACACACACACACACTCACTCACTCACCACACTCCACTCACTCACTCAATTATTGGTTTTGTTTGAATAATTGATTATGTAGTATGTGAGCGACAAATATGTGAATTTCTGTTGAATTCTATTTAGTATTATTGTATTTTTTACAGCAATTCTACCGTTGATTTAATGCAAAACTTGTTTTCGTTGTCTCGTTGTGTTCGTAAACGTGTGATTAGGTGTAAGTCCTGAACACCAATCAAATAAGTGATGTTTTAAAATGAAATCTATTAAATTACTGACGCCTTATTATTATCTCATCTCAAATATTATGCACTCTTGAGAGAGAGAGAGAGAGAGAGAGAGAGAGAGAGGTTTTGAAACATGACATCAATCATAAATTTATTTAACTTTTATAGACATATCATTCAATAATTATGTCAATTATGATTTGACATTAATAAAAGATTTTTCAGTGAATTTATTATAAGAGATAAACACAATATATAACTAATAACTATTTTCTATATTCAAATGTCAAATTTCAAATTTTGTAACAACAAAAGTGCAAACCATTTAGAATTTAAAAAACTTATTATATTCTACAACAAAACAACATTTAAATCAATGCTGACTGGGATTATAATGTTTTTATTTTTGAAAAACATTTACAAAGAATTTGGATATAGTTTTCAAGAATCGATATTCAGAGCTAATACTCCTGTACTTAGTATTACTCCAGTGTTTCTGTCAGAAATAATTTAGTAAATAATTCATAGTTACTCTCTCTCTCTCTCTCTCTCTCTCTCTCTCTCTCTCTCTCTCTCTCTCTCTCCTCTAATCGCTAGCCAGAGACCAGAAGAACACTGTCTTTAATGGTCACAAATTTAAGGGAAACAATTGGTGTGCGCTTTGAGGCACTTATACGCCAAGTATTGTCGGACAGTGGGCTAACACACCAGGGTATGGGCGCACAGACACAGAGCACACACCAGCGCCAGTGTCTATATCAGTACACAATAGCTTACGAAAGCGTTTTCTCTCTCTTCTTTTTCCGAGAAATGATAGTAATATCTCTTAAACAACTATTTTTGGTCTCTATTTTCCGCTCACTTTCTACACAAAAGCCAATACAGAGTATACAGTGTTTGGGCGAAACTGATCGCACAATCGTTGGCTGGCATTAAGTGTTCGTCAAAAAGCATTTCATTGAACACAATATTAGGATCTACTAAACGATGTGATGGACTGACGAGAGAGAGAGTGAGAGAGAGAGAGAGAGAGAGAGAGAGAGAGACTTACAATCTGTAATCGCTTGCAATACTAGGAATCGAGGACTTGTGCTCTCAATATAATACTCAATGATTTATATTATATAATCATCTCTTCCTCGTCCCCACAATCTCTTGCATTGCTCTCCCTTTTCATCAATCGGTGCATCACTTCCTTAAACGAGTCGATGATATGATGCGGTGTTTCCTCTCAGAGAAGGGATCAAAAAGTGTTTCCATTTTCTCACAAAAAGCCATAAATTTTACGACAAATTTGAGTCACAATTAAAATGTATTTGAGTTAATGTCTAAATTTGTCTCAAAATTACTCATTGAACTACTTATACAGTATTATATAATATTATTATTTAGACATTTGTACTCAGAATAAAATTATAAAAGCTTTTTCCCCAGAATCCAAACATTTTTATGTTTATAATTTAATTGAGACCTATTTTTATTGGTTTAATGTCTTTTAAAATTTATTTATATGGATGAATGTTGTAGAGTAAATGATTAGCAAACGTAAGGGTATTTCAGGTGTTTTCTAAGAAATTAAATCTAATTTATTCATTAAATTTTCAATTATCTCGAATTCATTCATCGTTTGCATCGCTGATAGACATTAAGATAACAAATTGTTTTTACATTTAAGAGAAATTGAATAAAAAAGTTAAGTTTAATGACCAGAAAATCTCTCTCTCTCTCTCTCTCTCTCTCTCTCTCTCTCTCTCTCATGAATAGAGAAGAGAAAGATATTAATCCATCACTTGTTTGTATCTTTAAATTTATTATTCAAATGTATTTATATTTTAAGTAATAATTATAAATCAAAATCAAAGCTCAGTTTTCTCATGTGTGTCCATATCTATAGCAAATGCTATATCACAAGACAACAAATCTATAATGAATTTGCATTTGCTTTGTATATCACTGACAAGTTTGACAATAAAATTTGTTTTTGACAAAAGTTATTAGTTTTGTTATAATTGTAGTGCATTTAGACAAACAAATGTTGAAAAACTTTTCCATGATATTTATTAACAAAGTTTTAGATCAGATTAGCCGGGATATCTAATAGCAGTCAAATTACTGTGACAATTAATAAACAATAAATTTAAGTTATGTATTTAAAATTTTATTTTCATTAAAATTATCAACTTAATTTTATGCTTAAAACCTTGATAAAATATGTCAAACCATTACGTTTATTGCTCGACAAAATTGGTTTTGAATTTAATTTTTGTTTTTAGAAAAAACGATTAATTATTTGACAAATAATCAACAAATAAATAAATAATAGCTATAATCATAATAATTGTAAAAAGCAGTAAATGTTTATCAACAAAACAATCACAAATATATTATAATCGGTGTATTATTTGTTAAAAACGTGTATTTAGTGAACCATTTCTCGTATGAAGTATTGCTTTGCAAACAAATATAATAAATAACAAATCAATTCAAATGGAAATATCAATAAATAAATAAATAAAACTGAAAAAGACTTTTCAAAACTTTTTAGAACTTTAGCATAACTTTTGAAAACATTTTGTTTAAAAGCCTCGCGGAGTAGAGCCGGGAAATGATAGCAAAAATGAAGTGTCGGCCACTTTGACGGACAGATTGGACGGTAGACTACCCTTACGGGCGTCCAAATCGATTTTGGCGGACGAGTTGAACACAATCTCGAACTGAGTGTCCGGTCGCTTACGGGCGGCGGTGGTGAACGCGTCCAGCGTTTTGGGGCCAATGGGTGTGTGATCCGGGTTAATGACCTCACCTCCATTGGGTCTGAACCAGGTCAGTTTGGGACTGTTCTCGATTACGTGGATAACAGCTGCAAATATATACAATTCATATGAGAAGCAACCTTTTAATTGCCTTTTGTTTTGTGTCGCCAAATGTTAATTGAAATTCAAACACAAAACTTCCGAAACAAAACTTTTCGCACAAATCCCCTCTATTTCTACGTGTGTTTCGCGCAAACACTCACTGCCTATGACTTAATGAACATTTAATTTGATTTGAAAACAAACATAAATATAATGAGAAGCCATTTGCCATGAGATTTAAAGTGTATGCTCAGGGCCATCACAGAATTAGGGCTGCCAGGGCTCCCGGAGCCGTGCGCTGTCATTTGAATAACACATTTCGAGTATATTAGGCACGACATGAGGAAAGGGGTCGATATGAATACAGGCAATAAAGTGTTGCGATTGTCATAATTAGTGACTCAAAAAGCTCAGCCACCGATCCGTTATGACTTGAATGGGAATTATTAAGTCATGGAAGCGGAGGGAACTGACAATCCATGTGCTCTCTCCCTCTCTCTCTCTCTCTCTCACTCACTCACTCACTCACTCCTCACTCCTCACTCACTCACTCTCATTATACTAGTGGTCATAATTCTAATCTATTACCATATATAATGTGTGCGGAATCGCACTCTAATGCTATTAAAATGACGGAGCGGTAGGTCTTATCCGAGAGATTATAATTTGCTTTTGTTATCAATAAGAAAAAAGGTTTTCTCTCAGTTTCTGTTCGCATAAGAAAATACACTTTAAATGATCTTTTAATAGCTCTGTATTTGATGCGAAAATTGTTGTTTTTCTACTATTTTTGTCAAATTTACTGAAAAGAAAATTATTATTCAATCGAAATGTTGACTATTTTTGTATATTTTAGGCGTTTTCACCCGCCCTTTGACTCGGAGAGAGAGAGAGAGAGAGAGAGAGAGAGAGAGATTGCATTTGGAGTTTATTTTCAAGCGATATATAAGTATTTGTTTGACTTTTTAATAAACGACTTCAAGAATCCCCAGAACTCCCACTCAATTCCCAACTCAACAGGTATTCCCTATTTTTCTCCTAATTTCGCAAACAAACATCGGTTTCACACAATACCAGTCGATTAGTCATTGCACGTACAGCCAGAGAGGGGACAGGCAGGCAGTGGTGTCGTGGCTGACATGACTTACCGCCATCGGAGAGTAGGGAAGAGGCGATGTCAAGAAAGCTAACGTTTTTGAGTTTGGCCACACTTTTCAGCGCTCTGTCGCCAATGTCGAGCCCAACCAACTCTAAGATCTCGAGTTGTGGCAAATACTGGTCCACTTTGTCGTAGAGGTCGGTGCTGTGGTTCTTGAGTATGAGTCTCAGGTGACGCAACTTCTTGCACGTCGACAGCTTCTGGAGGTTCGTATTGAGTCGGAAGTCGATGTGTCTCATGGGTGACCGGCCATTGATGGTCAGTGTCTCGAGGTTTGTGAACTTGCCGACCGCCTCCAGTAGGGCGTCCCCTCCCGACCAAACACATACATTGAGTTCCTTGAAGTTTGGTCCAAACTTTTCGCCAATTAGTGCTAATTTGCTGTCTATTGGTGTGTCTCCAGTGGCCGTAATTGACAACTTAAATAACTATAATTAAAAAATAATTAAAGTAAAACACTTGTACATAAAGCATACTCAACATTTAATATAAAATTATGTAATCATACATTTGTAAGGTTGCCTACAATTTCCACATAGTCTGGTGTCTCAGATCGAGTGCCCGAAAAAGTAATGTCCAGATTTCGTAAATATTGAGCATATTTTACCTATTTTTTTGAGTACATGTTTAAAATATATTTCTATTGTATTTCAATTCTGACCGAAAACTGTGACAATAACTCCTTTTCGCCGTTTGATATCTTAGACCAGACGTGTTTCATATTAGTGATAGTACCGGGTATTTCAGCTAATAGTGCGATACTGGTGTCCAAATGAATAGCCTCTAAATTACCGATCGATAGTATGAGCGCTTTTAAGCCATCATTGGTGTAGAAACTGGAGAAACCTAAGACCTCCACGTGTTTCAGAGTCTTTGTAAATCTTTGCCCTGTTTTGCAAAATTAATTCAAAAAGTTTACTATTCGCTGAAAAGAGATTTATTGATTGAAATTCAAATTCAATTAAACTCCTGGATAATTAATTACCAATCAATTTGAGCAACTCGTCCGTAACACCGGTGCAGTCGTAGATACGGATGCACTCAATGGGTGCGCCACTGTTGGCAATGGCACCGATGGACTCGTTATCCAACTTGAGTCCACCCAACTCAACGACCGTCAGGTCTTTGCCTACCTTTCCTATCAGGTCGGCCAGTTTGGTCTTATCCAGCGGTTTCTGGTCGTCGGTGTCGTTCACGAGCACCACTTCCGTGTGATTTTCGGTGACGGCATGCGACTCATCCTCACAGAAGTTGCGCTCCCTTTCCGTTACACTAATCTTTAATTTAGTCATCCTTTTTGACACAACTAGTCGTCGATTAATACACAACTAATTAATTATTTATTTCCAAGATTAATAAACTGATTATTTATTTATAATCTATTATTATGTGATTTAATGTGAGAATTACGTGATAAACAAGTTTTTATGAGCGGAATATTATATCACTTTCAATATGAAAGACTTTGTGTAAGAATTTTAGCTGTCGGTGCACTCTGTATAAGGTGTGGGCGGACTAGTAGTCAACATGAATATGAAAACTCGAGTATTCGTGATCTCTTATAAATATTTAATTTAAAATACATTATAGTGTATAATTTATACAGTATAAAACTTAATATTATGAGTATTATTAAAATATAAAATAATAGAGAATAACAGAATAATTGTGTCCAAAATTCTATGCCATAAAACAAGTGTTTAGTGTTTTTACGATACATTAGATGTTTGCTCAGACATGTATTCCGGGTATTATATTTAGGCATAAACTTATCCCATCAGAGAATTCCTTCCGCTATAATGTCTTTTTGTAAAACCATGATATCTCTCATTTGAATCAATTGTTTTCAAATGCGAAAACATTATGTATTATGTATGTTATGAGTGAAGGACTCGGTGTTTAAGACTGTGTTCATCACTAGCAATAATAGGCCAAACATTCCTGTGGCTAAATATAGAGGTTTTTGGCGCAGATATGTCACAGACTTTGTATTGCATATAATGTAATGATTTGAGAATTTTTGGTGGAGTTTGCGATCAACACATCCATCCAAACATTACCTAAATATAGCTGTTTTTCTCAGCGAATATGTGATGTAAGACTCATAAACTCATTGCACTTCAAAGCAAACACTGTTTTTTGTGGTGGAAAACAACCAAAAAGTTTTGAATTATTTCCACGACTGATTGAAATGCAAAATTAAGTCAAAAATAAGTTTTTTGTGTTACAAATATTATAAAATTCTAATTTTATCGATAATACATTAATTATACAAATGCATAATTCAACAAATTTCAATATTTGTAATGAGATCTAAAACATTTTCATTTACAATTATATATTTGAAAAAATATCATAAAAAATATATGACTAATGAGAGCACTTATAATTATTATGCGATTCATATAAATACGTGATTTTAGGGCTAAAAATCATATAATATTTTAATTAACTTAATACTTGTGATAAAAATATATTCATAAAAGTGTTATATTTTTCATTCAAAAAAGATTTCTTGTTTTTAAAGAGCACTTTTGAAAATCGTGTTAAAAATGACTGAATAAACAAAAACTACTTGTGCTGCCTAACCGTTAATACGAAGCTTATTATAATAAGCCGGTGCTTAAAAAACGGTAGTAGTCTAGTTGTATGTAATGCTCGTAATGTCATTAACTGTATTACATGAGAGGTAAAGATCCTAAAGATTGCACTCAAATCTAATACTGTATTACAATTCGTTTCAAATTAATCGT